CCAACTTGACGGCAGTACATCATCACATTTACTTAGTAAGTGGGACAAATATTTTTTTCTACAGAGTTTAGATCTATAGTGAACACACAATTTTAAACTGACTGGAATATGATTAAGACACTACTCTTACATACCAATGAATGTGACTCAACTCAATAAACATTTATTGAACACCTACCATGTGTAAAGCAATGTGCTAGGCACTGGAGATAAATGACCCTCTCAAAAAACACAATCCCTGCTCTCTGGCTCACAATCTAGTTTTTAGAAGATATACATAGGGCAAAAATTGCCACTGCAATGAAAACACAGCTGCTTAGAAAAAGAGATCACAGAACTTAAATTGCTGCTTAATAAGCTTTTGGCTTTTTATGATTCTAGTATAGCCATGGCACCAGTCCATGTAACTTTATTTACCCATCTTAGGAATAGGTTCTCATTGAAGAGTACTGTCAATATTTATGGATGGGTGATACATATTTATGAGGCAAAAATTACTCTTGTCCAGAAGAACAGAAAAATTGTCATTCAGTATAATGATTCAAGAAGCCAACATGCCAGGAGCACAATGCTTCAACTCGATCTACTTTGAGCAAAGTAACAAAGATGATGTTTGTATTACAAGACAAATTTTATAAAAACTCATGTGAATTACAACTTTGATGCAGTAACTTCAATAAAAGCAAATGTTCAGTGTTGCCTTAACAAAGAAAACTGAATAAAGTTTACCACAGAAAATTATTTTCAATAAATACACTAGAAAAAGAGTATATGAAGTCACATTGAAAAATAATTTAACTACTTTTATTTCCAAGGGTAAGTTTGAGGCTTTAAACTTGGTTCTGTGACCTTCTTCCTGACCCAACATGGCCACTCACCTTAATTCAGTAGGTTTGGATCTAAAACATTTATTGACTGCTGCATAGTATTTAAAGCAAAGCATCTCCCACCATGGAGGCTATTCAAAAGAGTATTTATTACAAGCTCTAAAGGCAGTTCCAGAAACATTTTGAGCAACAACAGCCCTATTAAGTGAAGGATAATATTCATTTGGATATGTTATATATTTTTAAAGCATTTATTTTATAGGCACACTTCATGCATTAACATCTTAGCTCAATTCTACCACTTAAGTATCCTGTGTATTGTTTATTTCAACTCTAATAACTATGACTTTCTTTTCTGGGTACAGCATTCATCTGCAGTCTCTAGCATCTAAGCACTGCATTTGTTCTAATTAATCTGAACTACAATTTGGATCTAGAATCTCAGCAAATTAGCATGTGACATTGAATTATCATTTTTAAAAATTTAAAACAAGGTACATATTGGCTGAGCTCAAATGGCAGCTGTAAGAAACTTCTGATTTTCAAACAGTTGAAATTATGAAAAGACAAAATTATTGATCATCTAAAGAAAATGTACATTCCATTTCAAAATTATACAAGACTGATAGACTCCTGCAATACTCTAGACTAGAAATGACCCTACATTGATGCAAATGTAAAACGTATTTGAAAAGCCTGCATCAAAATTTAATATGCTGTGTAGGAGAGAGCCTGGATAAAGTGGGAGAATAATGTAGAACAAAACTAAAAAAATTAAATTTAAAAAGAAAATAAAGGAGGGGGGGGACCAGGTTTGCTAGTCTGATAGAGCCTGAGAGCACCACTGAGACTATGGCCCCCAGCTAGCTTTCAGCTCCAGAACTGAACCCATTCCTGTGGCTTCCAGCCAAACGAAAGACGGCCATATGAGCTTAACATTTACATTAGCTACACACACTCCTTGGAGAGAAAAATCACGGGAGAATAAAAGGGCTGTGTATGCACAGGGAGACAGCTTGGTGGGGGGCAGGAGTGCATGGGAGGGAAGGACACAGGGAAGAGGTAACTGTGAGGAGGAAGTGGGAGGGGAGCTGTTGCACTGTGGGAAATTGCAGTGAATGTCATGAGACAAAGTGTATGTGAGCTGCTGTAAGGAAAGTGAATTTGCTCCGTAAACTTTCACCCAAATCACAATTAAAAAATAAAAGAAAATGTAATATGCTATAGTGAAAATCCTAACAATGGATCTGGGTCAGCTGGTATGTATGGAAGTAACCACATGCTTTATTACATAAAGTAACAGGAGGCTCTAATTAAAGGATTTTAGATAATTCTGATTGAACAAAGTCACTAACTTTCAATTTTCTTATCCTGTCATTTTTTACATGCTTTTCTGAATAATAAAGCAACTATCATAAATAAAAGTCTTAATAGAACACATCTAGGCCAAATGTAATAAAATATTTTTATATAAAAAGGACGAGCATCTAGTACTACAAAGGGAAATAAAAATTTGTACCTATGCCCCACTTACTCCTACATGAGAATAGTAACATACAACAAATACAATTCTTATAGAACAATTTGATGAGTAAGGCAAGGAAGTCTATCATAAAGCAACTTTAAAATTTCCCAGTTTAAAAAACTGGAGAATGTGGAAGCAACAAATAAAGAAATTATATCTGCAGCTAAATGATGACACATTACTAGGTGCATGAATGAGTGTCAGGTTCTAAAACTGGCACTGCATATACTGGTGTGAAAATGTAAATCCCCTTTGTATCACCAATTACTGGTAATCAGAGTTAATATAGTTAATATAAAACAACTTCAAGGATTCTAAATTGATCTAATTTATTTAGTACTTATGTGGAATACTTAATGACTAATTTGAAAGCATCAAAAACTGAAATTTATAGCCTTTATATTAAAAGCCATTTTATCTCTAGTTCACAATACAAATCTGATTGTATCTGTAATTTCAAAATCTTGGATTTGAGAAACATCTACAAACACAACCATGTACATTAAAAAATAAAGGTAGTTATATTCTCACCTCCAAATTTTATAGATGTAAAATTGAGGCCCACTGACTTGTTCAAGGTCACAAGACTAATCAGCCCAAGATTTCAGACTTTCTAACTCCCAGTTTGGTGCCCTGTCTAATATATCAATACCAAAACAGTTCTAGCCTAATAAATATTTGTTTAAACCAACAAACTATCAGGAACAGTATTCAAGCGTTTATCCTAACAGGAATATAAAATCTTAGCCCAAGTATGAGTGGCCTACATTTAGTCAGATTTACATGTTGTAAATAAAATACCACATATATAAAATGAATGGTATCTACTGACTACCAGACCGTATTTCATCAAACTTAGACATAACCAATTAGAGGTTCAACTTAGCACTGCTAAGTCTGAATACATTCAAGCTTTGTCAGTTTGTTCCGACATTTCCTCTATAGACTAGGGACTACTGGGGGTAATTTAAATACTCTTCCATTGTTGTAGCAATTTTATATTATTTCTCAGAATAATTGTACAACTTTAAAAGAATAATTGGTAAGTTTAGCAACGTGATTCACACCAAGATGATAGCTCTATGCATAAAAAGGTATCTCTAAATGTATTTATCTGTTAGCATGAGCTGAATTTACTGCTTATAATAAATTACATTTCTCAGTATCAATAGGACTCTTCAAAAGTAGGGAGTTCATTAACTGTCAATAATACCTGCTTGAAAGATAAGTAATCTCAGAAGCAGAAAATAAACAGTACAAAAATGAACTATTAGAATAAAACAAAGGATGCTGTAATATTTTCTGTGCAGAAAAAAATATTGAAGGATGTTAAACATATTTGATAAGTTTACTACCAAGTATGACAGAATGAAAGTTTCAATGCTACATAAAATAATTATCTCCTAAATTTAACCAAATAAAAATTTCCACCATTTAATAATATGGTGAGATATACTGAAGCAAACAGTTCAAGAATCTTCAGAAAAAGAGAAAATTAAGGCTAAAGAGATCAAACAAACATCAAGTGTTCATCATACCTTTTAGTCAATGCAGTCATCATTAACATGTACCATTTACCAAAATATATACACATTTTCCTAAATTTCATTTTAGGTCTATTTAATGTTTAAATTTAAGGCTACTTCTGGATCTAACACACAAAGTAACCTACTAAAACCAATCAAAGTTAAACTTTATTTTTAACTATTACCTTGGCCTTTGAGATCATCATTTAGGTTTATAATTGCCATTATTTGTCACCAAGTAGCAGAATAAACTTCTGTACTAAAATATGTACCAGTATGTCTTACAAAGTTACTAAAATATATGCAATTAACATTTATATTTAACTACTTTCAGTAAGATGGAAAGCATAATGCTTAGATTTTTTTAAGAACATAAAATTACCTTTATAGATCTAGGTTGTTTATGTTTGATTTGTGCAGTTTCTAGAAAAACTGGTTCATATTAAGCCAATCCTGGAAGATGTAAGCAAAAATTTTAATTTAAAGACCCTACAATGACACCTATATTCTATTATTAAGGTAGTAATAATGCATATCCCAGTGCTTCTTTTCCCGTGCCTAACTACAGAGATGCTCTGTCAGTCGTCTTTCCTTTTTTTCGTCTTAATATGAAAGCTGAATGACCTCCTTATGAGTTTGGTTTCAGTAGACGAACCAAAAACTATGGGTATCTTATTTATTGAGATATATTTTCTTTACTAGGAAATAATTCATGTAGCATATCAAGGTGCTTAATAATAAATTTTCACTGTACTTCTCCATATTTTTCATATTTTTTTAACATTTCAACTAGATGGAGGAAGACCAGAATAGTTCAGAAAAGTCTAGCTTTTAAGATATGAAGTTCACAGTGTGCCTTTTTAAATAATTAAGTAACTGCAAGTATTCTAATCACAACTAGGGATTTTTTTAAGAGTAACTGCAAATGAAGCTTTATGTAAGTCAATGGCAGTACAATACTTTGGATCGACCAAAATGTACAATTCACAAGAAATCAAAGTAATGCAGTTTACTGGTTGACCATATGGATACAGATCTTAAAAGCTACTACTCCAAAAGCTGTATCTGGAGCTTTTAAAGGAAGTTCTTAAATTGTAGCAATAAACAAAAAGACAAGATACATTTAAACAATACTGCAGTTTATCAAAAGACACATAAGAAATTTCAAATATTATGTCTTTGGAAGTTATAAAAATCAATGTTTTGGCTAAGTTATAAACATGTCTATAATGCAATTACTTGTCTAACTCTACTAATGTTAATGATGGCTATAAGATCAGGTTTTTTAAAAAACACCAAAAACAGAAAAATACTTAGCCCCATTATTTATTTACCTGTACAATTTGCTCATTTATGCCTAAATTTCAGCATTTAACTACATCATCACTGCTCTAATTTTCAAACTCATATCCAAAGGATAAGGCAAAACCACCTACAAATCAGCAATGTGTTTATTCCTCAGTTTGTGAAAATGTCCTTAATTTGTTGATGCAGCAAACAAATTTCAACTCTGATTGCTATGCAAAAAGAACAAAAGATAATCTGCTTTGCAACGAACTTTATATAGTTCAATTGCATACAGGCAACATGCTATACGAAAAATTACTAATTGAACTATGGGTATTAAATACTGAAAAAAGTTAACAGTTTATTATAATTTATTTTATTTAACAATCTAAGAAGTTCGCAGCCATCAGCAGTTCCAGTGCAATTTCAGGTGCAATTGGGAATTCGGGAATTTCGGTGGAGCTGTTAGTGTAGCGAACCTTGTAGGTAAAATACATGCATACTTTTGATAGCACATGTGAAGGGATCTCTCTAAAATTGACCTCATTGGTTTCATTCTCAGCAAACTGACCTGTAAAACAAAAGTAACACATTAATAGAACTACTAGTATGAAATTAAATACTTAGCTCTGATTACAGAATATAAACAAAATATTTTTTGTTTATATTCTGTATAAACAAAATATACAGATTTGAGCAACATCTACTTACACAACTGTGTTCATTAAAAAAATAAAGGATGGTAAACATAACCCTATAGATTCTTACCTCCAAATTTTATAGATGTGAAATTGAGGCCTTGTTGAGTTCAAGACTGCATTTTAAAATTCTAATGCTTTCCCAGAGGGTTAGATTAAGTAGCTTTTCCTGAGACCTTAGGTGGCATGATTGTTCAGAGCAGAAAAAGCTAAACTGTTTTTTTGTTTTGTTTTGTTACAAGAATCAGTCCAGGGAATCAAGTCTTTATGGGTCCTCAGGTGCCCTATGCTCTACTGAATTGCCATATAAAAATAAAGTTAGCACAAATAATAGATTTTCTGATTGCGCTTTCCACTAGTGAGCCAAATATACAAAACACAAAATAGTAAGAAAGATTGATATTTTAAGTCACTTTCCTTCTATAACACTACATACACTGTTTTTCAGTCATCCTTAAAATTTCTTTAGCTATACAAAGGTTGTATCATTAAGTCTTTACTCACAGAGACAAAATTTTTCTTAGCAATCTGGTACTAGCACTATGTACTGAATACAAAAGGCATTTTACATCTAAAAACATTTTCTGAAAATGCTCTTTTTTAATTTCCTAGTAACAGTCTATTGGTTGGAGGTAGAGTAGTGATGTAGGAGAGAAGGACTCAGCAACTGACTGACAACAATGAGGTAAAATCTGGTTTGCCAATAACTAAAACTCTCTTCTTTGAATAAAAGTATTACCACCGATAGGCATTTAATTAAGCCTTTGACATACTAGACATTAGTGTTTCTTTTTTTATTGAGGTGAAATTCATATAACATAAAATTAGCTACATTAAAGCACACAATTTCAGTGACATTTTGTACATTTACAATGGAGTGCAACTACCCCCTTGATCCAGTTATAAAACCCTTTCATCATTACTCCTACCCCCCAAAATTCCATACCCATTAATCACTATTAGTCACTATTCCCACTATCCTTTGCATTTAGCAATCACCACTCTTATGTATATACCCAAAGGAATTTAAAACAGTACATTCAAATACATGCTTGAGTTCATTAACAGCCTTATTCAAAATAGCCAAAAAGTGGGAACTAAGTGTCTACAACTGATAAATGGATTAACAAACTATGGTATGTTCACATTACGTAGTATTATTCAGCCATAAAAAGGAATGAAGTACTGATACATGTTACAAAGAGGATGAACCTTGAAAATACTATGCTAAATGAAAGAAGCTAGACACAAAAGGCCACATATTGTATGATGCATTTATATGAAACATAGGCAAATCCATAGAAACAGAAAGCAAATCAGTGAGTGCTAGGGCTGTGGGACGTAGGGAATGAGGAATGACTGCTTAATGAGTATGATTTTACTTACTGGGTGATAAAAATGTTTTAGAACTAGACAGAAGGGAAAGTTACAAAATACTATAAATGTACTGAATGCCACTGAATTGTATACTTCAAAATGGTTAACTTTGTTATAGGGATTTTACCTCAATAAAAAAAAAAACGGGGAAAAAAAAGATTAAGAATAGGAATTTGGGAGGTGGTTTACTATAGATAAACTTCGTATGTAAATCAGGAGCACATATCATTAATCAGAGTCCTTCTGTGGTGAATAAGGTGAACATGGATACTACTGTAGGGAAGCAAACCTTCCTATTACAAAATAATCGATTCAGTCTTACTGAAACTTACTGGGTAAATAACTGAAAAGAGGAAATAAGAGAAATGAGTATTTTCCAGTGTAAGATAATCATGCAATAATGGTACAACAGTTACTCTCTCTTTCAATGTTATGAGTTATTTAATTCAAATTAAAAATATAACCATCAAACATTAAAAGTACAGATATATGAAGATAAAATAAAGAAATCTACCCACCCGGGCCACTCAACATGGCTTTTATTGTTCCTGATGTTAGCGCATGTTCTCTTTTTACAATGAATTCATGACCATCAGAAGATATCAATTTGACATACATGGCATCTGGGCCTTCACAGCCACCATAAGTTTTCTCCTCTCCATCTAAAGTAAAGTAGTGAAGTGATTTTTGAATGACATGGTTTGTTAAAAATAAGTACAAACTATGTGATAGAT